GAGCCCGCCCCGCCCAGCGGCTGGGGGCGAAGGGCGGCCCCGCCGCGCTCCCGGGCGGCCTTGTCTCCCCTCGCACGTTCTCCGCTCCCCGCCCCGCCGCCAACGGGGCGCAAAGGGAACGTGAACTGTGCTGCTGGTGAGCCTGGCCTAGCAGCATCCTTTCTGTTCTTTGCTTGCTTTGACATCTGTTACCCAAACTGCGAGATGCTTTGCGTACAAGACGGTATAATACTTTGTGAGAGGCCTTTGACTGCCCTACGGGGTGGTTGAAGGGTGCGGCTCAAGGCTGGGCTCTCTCCATCTGTCTTCCCTTTCCAGATGGCCAGTCCAGAGGTCAGTCACCTTCCCTGTACTTACAAACTGCTTTCAAACCATTTCTTTGGTTTTAGGGGAAAAAACCCAACAGTTTTCATACCGTCAGGCTACCAGATTGCTTATTTTCTGAATGACTTGGGAGGTGAGCTTTAACTCTGTTTTCGTCTCTAAGGCATGGTCGTGATATTAAGGGTTTCCAAGCAGCCTTCAGGTCCATCTATTTGCCAAATATGATGAGACAGGTTCCCTGCCTTTTGGGTTGCTTGTTCACCTGCTTTTACTTCAGCTGTCAAGATGGCTTCGCAGCCAGACATGGCTCAGCAAGGAGTAAATTTAACTCACGGCTGGTTGTTGTGTATATAAGGCATCTTAGTGGATGGCTGGAATTGATCCCCATTACTCATTTGCTTTGCTTATGCCTTTAAAATACAGTCGTTTTCATTTTATTTGATCTACCAGGCTAAGGGCAACTGGAAGTTTCTAAGGTTTATGAGATACTCATGAGTTACGGGTTTGGCTGCTTTTTCAAGGCAAAATCAATGACTGTCACCTAAGATCATTTTGAAAAGGAACATCTTTCTTATAGTGTGTGTGCACTATGTATGCATATGTCACAATTTTCAATCAGCCTTTCCAGAACAGTTTCCAGTGGCTGAAGTCCTTAGTGCTGCTGAGCTGTCCTTTTCTCTTGATCTGGAAGTGATGAGCTTTGGTCACAGCACAAGCTCCCCCATGTGGTACTACGAATTTAATTGCTCAGAGAAGACAAGATTTTTGCTTTGAGTTCATGAGCAAGACCTCTAAACTTGGAGAGAGGACTTGAGCCTACGCTGGAATGGTTTGGATAGAGCTCCTCCTCACGAGCAGACCTCTGCATCAGGGCAGGTAAGCTCAGGGGTTTGCTTACAGAGCTGGGTCTAACTTCAGTTCTTTTGAGTAGAGGTGGGGTGACAAACTGGGGAAGCGTGAGTGGAGGAGGAGGTGTGCCACAGAAGTGGCACGATGCCATAACTCAGTCTGGTGATAGATGTATTTAAGGAGATGAAGGCACAGAAGAATAACTAGAAGGGTAAAGAAACAGCGTAGACCTATATATAGCACAGGAACAAAGCCTGTGGGAGGTAGAAGGATGTGTGGAGATCACAGAGTGTGTCTTTGGACATGTGGTCACTGTGGGGCTTCCCAGAGCTCTTCAGGAAGTGGACCAGTTCTTCTGGTCCCCTGCTGGTTTCTGCCCAGTAGATCCAGCAGGAAGATCTGTGATCCACTGTGTGCGGACAAGAGGGAACCTGCCACACCAGGGCTCTGCTTTCTGTGTCACCTCTCACTGCATACAAAGTGGGTCCATACAGACATCAGTGGCCCAGCTTCCAGAGAGAGGTGATTTCTTTTCATAACCGTAAGCTCCTACAGCAGCTGCTAGTAAGAAAAATGAATACGTGATAAGAAGGGGAGCCAAGGAAGAACAATTCCCTGGTGATCAGTGAACCTGGTGATCAGTTACAGCTGTAACTTCTGTGAGAGCTAAGAGTGAGCACAGACCCAGGCTTTAGTTAACATGTGCTAACTAATAACGTAATGTGTTTCACTATCTCCAGGCAGAGAGAATGGGAGCTCTAGTGTGTGACTACATAGCACCTGCACTCGCTCTTGCATTGAAATACCCAGTTTCAGACCCAAATGTGGAATTTATTCCTTCTCTCCTTTCCCTTGTAAGTTTTTTCTTGCATGCACGTAATTAATGAACTGTTAGAGCAATTTTGTGTGGAGAATGGAGTACTCAGAGGACCCTGCTGAAACAGAAACAGAAGGACCAAAGGGAATCGTTACTCTACTTTTACCTGCTTGAATATCCAAAGACTACACTCATAGGAATCCTGTAAGTCCCCGAACATTAATGCACAAGCTTGGAGTTGCATATCTTACCTAGTCCGGTTTCATTGCCACGCTCACAGCCTCTCCCAAAGTCCCAGGTTTGCAGCTGTGTAACCGAATTCTGATATATCTGTTGTCTCTATACTGAAGTGATCCCAGCTTCATGGACCGAATCATATACAGAGTCTGGCTCAAACGAAGTTAGTGTAAAAGCAGCAAAGAAATAGCACGTCCTTCACACTGGCCCATTCCAGCTGAAGACAATAAAAACCTTGTCTCATAGCCTCAAGGTGTTTTTAGTCAGGGAATTATTTTCCCTGTACAGGAGGGTACAGGGTGTCCAAAATTTGAGGATACTGTAGAGTTTTAGTTTCAGTAGAAATGAGGGAGCTCCTGTGAATGACAGAATTGCAGTATCTGAAGAGAGTCTGAAATAAGCTGGTAGGAACTTTTTGGGAAAGAACAAACTGGTTTGTCCCAGAAGTATGGCTGAAGTCTGAATACGCGATACTACCGCAGGGGAGAAGTGGGTCAGCTAATGACTGAGCAAATGACTGAGGGCTTTGCTTCCTGACCAAGTGATGGGGTGCTTCTTTCATAGACTTTCTAGCATTTGTGAGTTGTCCATCCTAAAATTTGACTTCTTTGTCTGCCAATTCATTTTACGCTTTCAGGAGTTTTCACTGCTTACCTTGTTTCTTGCACTTTTTCATCCCAATTTCCTGCATTTTTTGGAAGTTGGGCAGGGAAGCAGGGAGAGAGTGATGAATGGGCTCTAATGTAAGGCCTTTTTCTTAGACTGTTCTGTTTCATTCATGCTCATGTTGCTCAGAAAAAGGTCTTTATCGGTGTTAGAGAAAAGGTCTGAAGAGTTAGAAAAAGTACATTTCCTCAAATTGTTCTTGTTTGGTAGTTATTCATCATTCAAATCATATAGGTCTGTATGCATATGCAAGTCTCCCTGTGCTAAGCAAAATATAAGCAACTCAGAAAAAAACAAGCCTGCTCTGAAGAACTTGAAATCTGAATTTCCCAGACAAGATAAAATGAGGTAGAAATAATTACGGCAGCTGCAAAAATCCAAGATGCAAAGAATGCGTGCAACATTTTGAACACAATTTCATGAGGAAGGCTACGGTACAAATGATACCACATTTTTGGAGCACAAACGCATTGAGTTGATCACAGGACCACCCTGCCTCTTGCAGAATTTAAAAAAAAAACAAACCCAGACAAATAAACATCAATATTTTATATGTGATTGTATTTAAAAACTATAGAATCCCTGACCAGCTGCCTTTACACAGCTGAATGTTGTATGCTAAAAATCGCACTTCCAAAGCTTTCCAGTACCTGCTGCAAGAAATAAAATGAGATATAAAGTACAGAGTGCTTGAGCAGAGAGGGACAAGTTGCTTCCAAAAGGGTCTAGCCCTGACACCTCACAAAGACAGGATAACACCATAACGTTAACCTGTCAGGTGTGGCTGTGTATGTACGTCCAGTTGCCATCTAGTGGATCTATAACTTAGTATTTCCTTAGAGAGAAATGCTGAACACCTCTTTGAATGGTGAATTCTCCTCGAGATGTGTGAATTCTCCTCTGGTCTTTCCTGCTCTGAAGCAGAGGTTTTGAATTACATTACTGTAGCATGTATAAAAGTTTGAATGACGTTATCTGTGATCTGCTAGGGCTTGGGCTGGTTATAATAAGCTCTGTAACAACAACAACAACAAAGTGTAAAAGACACTGGGGTTTTTGCATCAGTGTGTTAGAGTCTCTTCCTCCCTTCCGCAAGTGCTTTGCGGAGATGTATCGCAGCGGCACAATGACATACTCAAAAGCAGGCATCTACTTTTCTCCAAGTGCTGTGAGATGAACAGCACTGCTTCCAGGTGGATCTGTGAGGAGCTGAGGACCAAGAGCTGCCTACATTAACTAGAGGACCAAGATGCTCTGGTCAGACTGCTCGAGTAGCATATGTGAGTGCTATGAGGGTCTAGCTAAGATTTTGCCTGTTGTAGGAAGCATACAGCTAAAATCTGGTAACTGCACTGCATTCTGCCTTCAGAAGGCTCCCCGGTGCTCTCCGGTGCTCCCGTACCCTCATGGTTAAAAGCCCTGTGAAGTTTAAGGAATAGGAGCGATCAGAGGACTCCGACTCCTGAGCTTGGGGAATTTAAGCCGTGGTAGTTTAAAACTAACCACCTGGCTGCCTGCCCCTCCTCATAGCTGGAGGCTGCCTCCCCAGCAGGCGCAGCTTGTGCCAGCGCCCGGGAGCAGATCCCCTGCTTGGTTAATGCGCAGTACAGTGGCCAAGAGCAGGCAAGGCTTCAGCGCCCGTCCACGCCTGCCACTCCTGCCACCAGGGCAGTAACATCCAGCACATCGGTAGGGTGGGGGCAGCGACGTTTTAAATTGCCAAAGCTTTATCTGCCAGAGCTCAGGAGGCAGGGCTTCCAGCCTGAAGCTGGACTGAAGCTTGTTAGTCTGTCCTGCCAAGCTAGCTGAACAGTGCGACGCCTAATGAGGGCAAACGCAAGGGTCAGACTTAGGCAAGAGAAAACCTCTATAAATGTGAAAATGTGAAAGGCACTAGAAGTGATTCGTGTTCCGGTGGAAGAGATTCGCTCCACTGTTATGTGGTGAAAAGCACTCTAGTATGCCATAAACTGAGAATAGCTTTTCTTCGTAAGTCCGTATGCAGGTGCTACTGAGTTAATTCCAGCGTAGCAAAACTTGGATGACAAATGGGGCTTCGCTCTGGCTGTAAATTCCATCCAGCACTTAATCCTGAACACAAGCGGATATGCAAGCAAGAGGGATTAAGTGCAGAAGGCACAAAACAGTTATGTGTAGACTAGCAATTTAAATATGAATGATACAGTGCTAGAGGGACTGAGATTTATTTATTTAATCAGCCTAACTGAATAGGAAGAGAAACTGCAGCATGATGTTCTAGGGAAAAAATGCGACTTGGCAAAATGAAGGCTTATTTGTTGCACTGAGAAAGCCTATGAAATTCCACAGTATTATGCATAGTTATCTTCAATACGTGCTTTCATGAGGGTTGTCTATAAGTGAAAATAAAATAGTTGAGTGAAGAGGGGTCTGAAAAGCCCTCAAGCAGTCAGACTCAGCCAGCCAATTTAATGGGTTTTAAAATATTTAAAATATTTGCACGCTCCCCGAACATGGCTAGTTACAGATAGGGAATCCTTTGCCTCCTTCTTCCCTTCCGCAACTCTGAACCTGCCTATTTCTCCTCCTGTGACACAGAAGCAAACCCACACTCGTGGGTAAGCCTGAAGTAGTTGCTTGCCAGTAACTAGCTTTCTGAATTCGTAAGTCTTCATACCAAAAAGCTAGCTGGAGTATTCTTATGTTTTAGGGGATGTTTAGTCCTGTATCGCAGATTTATGGTCCAAACTGATCTGTTAATAAGACTCAGATCACAAACTGAGCCCTTCTCAAAACGCTGAGATAAGTTTAAAAGTCACCAGTGGTATTTCTGGGTTGATTGGCTAGTGTTTATATGTACTTTTGGTTCTTGTTCTTTGTCTTCTGATTTTTTAACCTTTATATTGAACTAGATCATATCTCTGATGGCTTTTTGGTGTAGCCACAAGGATTAGAAATTAGTTCTGTTACTTTTAAATGAGAGAATACGCGACCAATTTACACCGGAGCTTGGGCTTCTGAGCTAAAATGTCTCTTCTGCAAATGAAACCTCAGTTAGACTCATTTAACCTCTTCTCTCTTTCTCACCTTTAACTGTCCTGCTGGTGTTCAGCTCATTTCTTTACCAAGTTGTAGTCATCATTAGGTTAAAATGCTGTTGTCTGCGGTGCACATAATGCATATGCAAAAGTAGCATCCTAGAGTTGGCAAAATTCAAAGGGTATTTTATTGTGACAGAGTAGTTTCTTTATGCTAGTTTTTTGTTTCAAGTGCACTAATCATGCTTTTCCTGAGCGCTCTATCTTCCATTTAAATATTTTAAGACCTCTCTCAGCATTAATTCATTAAATTTTCAACCATATTGAGAGAGATGGGCAGACTGAGGTATAGTGAGGTATCCTCAGTAGTTTTTAAACTGTTCCACATGGTAAGCACTTCTGTTTCAGCATTTTAAATTTGAGAAGAATTTGAGACCTAGGTTCTCAGTAATTTTCTGCAAGTGTTGCTCAAATTGGAGATTCTAACTAGATGTAAAAAAAAATCAGTGACTCTTTTTGGGTCAGAAGTTTATGCCAGAATCAAGCTGGCATAAGCTGGCAAACTGTTGGTCAAGGTCCCTGCAAGTACATCTTTGATTTTCTGTTTCCTGCTATACCAGTGGTTCACCACCTTTCTGTCCCACAGGGGCTGAGCTCAAAGTCTAGAAAGGTACTAAAAATGGAAAAACATCATTTGATCCTCCTTTCCCACCATCTGTTCTCTTGTTATCAGTGCTAAGATACAATGTGTTATGTTTTCTGTCTACAGAAGCAACAGAATTGATGTTGTCCTTGCTAGCCAATGTCCTTGGTCATCTTTTTGAGAAACTGAAGAAATGTTCTCCTGTGTGGACAAGACACTTAGTTTTTCTTTGAGGTATAGTGCTTCAGTTAATGGATTTCCCTTTGTAAAATAACATAACCTTCTGTAGTCATGGCTGCTTTACACCTAGCAATAATTGAATAATGTTGTTCAGAGTTTCTTGATAATAAGGCCCTTCTGTGGGATTCGGCCTGGTTAATGAGTGCTGTTGCTGAATCATTGGCATTTTTAGGAGAGTGTGCACATTTGCTCATTATAAGGGACTGCTGGTACTTCACATGCATACCAGCAACAGTTAATGCAAAGGCATGATAAAAAGGGAAAAACTCCAAATTTGACTCTGAATAGAATGTACTGAGCATCTGTTTGAATAAATCTGATTTTTTGGACGTCTATTATGGGTTGGAATTCTGGGAACACGATTCCCCTCTTCTGTTAATGTGTCTGCTGTTTGACTTGGTAGCACATTTGCATTCTGTCTTGCTGGTTTTAGTAGTGCTCCTACTATGAGTACAGATCTCAGCGCTTGTGCCTTGGTGAGAGGGAACAGCACCCCGTGCTATGCAAAAATGGATTTAAAAGTTACGCTTTGTCCATGTATGATGATAATCTTGTTTGAAGAGGTTTTCCTTTCATACAGGGTTTTAAAGCATTTTCTCCAATATGGCTGAGTTGTTTTCAGTTGGGACGTCAATGGCTTTATGTCCAGCCTGTTTCTGGCCTCCCTGTTGAGTCTGCCAAGAATGTGTCAGACAGTGCCACAAGTAACTATTGGGTTTTGGTTTGTAGATGCTGGAAACTGGTTTCTATTTTAACCTTCAGAAAGGGTGTTATAACTGACAGAGGGCAGAGGATTTTAAAAATATCTTTAGCACGTCCCTATGAAGCTGGCAGCTTTGTTGTCATCCTGCTGGAATGCCTGACAGAAGGGTCAAGAGAGTCAAGCTCTCTTTTAGGGTCGAAAGCATGCCTCACCAAGAGAGCAATGCACAGAGTTTCCAAGTGTGGCTGGGACCCTTGGATACCTCCCTTTTCAGGTGCATGTTAAAGAAAGAGGCCTGATCCATACTGGGAAATTGCTCTGCACTTAATGAAAATCTGGACTCTTAAGGTACCCACATTATGTACTCAGAAACTGTGGCTCTCAGGACTGGAAGTCCCTTTCAAATGCTTTCAGCAGAAATGTCTAAGGCTTAGACAGGTCCAAACCCCCACACTATAGGAAAAAAAAGTCTAAGTATAAAGGAAAGATTGAGTTCCCGGTCTACAAATTCAAGACTGTCGCTTTGTCTTAGAAATCCTCTTTTAGGGAATTTTGTAAGATGTTAGGAAAAATGCCAAAATTAGTGGATGTAAGAGAGGCGGATGTTGCTTAGCTATTTTAGAAGAGGGACCCCTAGATAACTATTCCCAGTGTCTCTACTGAATTGTGTGTTCTTAAACAAGTCCTGGAACCATGGCCAAGCCCCTGAGCCATATCATATACTTAGCTGCATAACAAATGTGTTGCGGAGCTCAGTTAATACTCATGTGCCATGAACAAAGTTCTGTAAAAATGCCAACAATTTATTGAATGTGAAAATGCTGACAAGTGCTTTGGACTGATACGGGATTACTGCAAATCATAGCCCAAACATGTACATTAGCAGATATTCAAAATTGTCTACTTCAGGAATCTAACTGGAGATGACTAAGTCCAGAGTCCAGTCTTCTCAGGTTCTGTATATGGTCAACAGAGAGAGAGAGAGAAACTCTTGCAGAGGGTCCGTTCGGTGTCAGTGCTCTGAACTGTCTTCTGCATGAGTCCTTCCCTTTACGTTGGCCACACTGAGTGCTTGATTTGAGTACCTGAAGTAGGTACTGTGAATACTCTCCAAAGAGCTCAGCCTCATAGGAGTGGGCTTGAGTTCCGCTCTTGGTCTCTTTGAGATGAATTTCCTTTGCCCAATAACACGCAGGTTTGCTCAGTTCCTTAGTGCTATGAAGTGAAATTGTCACAATAGGTTATACCAATGTAATCCAGCCTATCTATTTTGCGTCTTTAACCTGAGTTTTGGTTAAAACTGTTACACAGAGTGTGCCTGTATAGCTTAGAGAAAAAAAAAATAGCCTTGTACCACTAACCATCTATGGGAAATGGATTTATAATGAAGCACTGAGGAATACTATGTGTAAGATACAGGTGGGATGGGAGACACTTAAAAGAGGTCAGACTGGTGAACCCGAAAGTGCAAAACACTGGCTTGTTGCCCAATTCATAGGCTTTAGTTTGTGTGACTAACATGTATGCAGTGGATAAGACAATTCTTCCCAACCTTTGCAGTACTGTGGTTGCCATGGGCAATCTTTACAAAGGGATGAATTGTTCTTAAACCACAAATGGAATATATTGCACATGAGGGGGCTGTTGACTACGCAAAACATGTGCCACTGTCTTGCCTTTTGTCTTCTTGAGCAGACCTAGCTGCTTTGGAAAGCAGGCGGCTTTCATCACCTATTTGCTTTCAGGTTCCCTATCCTCTTTCAAACAGTATCTTGAAAAGCAATGCAATGCTAGTTTCAGTGTAGCAGACAAGAGCTGAAGGCAGAATAGATCTACAGTTGTTACTGTTGGTGACTGCGGCCTTACAGTGGTCGCCAGCAACAGAGAATGGCCTTTGCCCAGACACCCCTGTGATTGTAAGGGGAGACTCTCAGAAGAATAAGAATCCTGCATAGGAAATACTAATCAAGAGGATTTTTTCCATGTTTTAAATGAAAGATGAAGTAAAGCAGATCTGAGACCTGGTGAAAGTCCCACCCTGTATAAACGCATAGATAAACAGGATAGACGCGATAGATGGCAATTGCGGAGTATTGAATGGCTCCTGTTGCTAACCTCAGGGAGCCCATACTTAAGGATCAAATGACTCACAGAACTGTTATCTGGCCTGCTCAGTACTAGGTTCCTGATACGGATCTTGCTTATTGTCAATATCTCATATCAATTTGTCTGTGATGAAGACTATTGGAACACATGCATAGGATAGTGCCACTTCAGTTTCTACTGTGCAGTTTTCCCTGAGTAGCACCATTTTTGATAGAGAGGGCAAGCACCAAGTATAAATTTTCCTGTAGTTTTAAAGAGGATCTCTCAAACACAAGGTTGAACTACACTTAGAAAATAGCGGTCCTTCACAGGAGACAACCTTATCCTAAATTTCAAGAGGCAACCGCTGGAGTTGCCTGCTAGTGGTTGTGGACAAGCATTAGATCCGTGGAGCCTTCTGGCAAATGTAAATCCTCTCCCCTCACATGCACTCCTGGCTGTTTGCACCAGCCTGATGGATGTTTTATGCTGCTACCTAAAAGACTCATAGTCTCTTGGGCTCGCTAGCCAGAGGTGTTCATCTTTAAAACTGGCTCTGCTTGCAGGCTGTGATTTTTCCTTCAAACCAAACAGCTCCAAGAGGGCTGTGATCAGACTCTAGAAGGACACATTGAACTTTTAGAAAGAAAAAGCAAGAGTTGTCCTCCTTAATCTGTTTCAATATATCCTTAAATATTTCATCAGGTGCTTTTCTACGTTATAGTATTTTCTCCTGCAAATAGATTTACCTTTTCCTTTAGTTCTTCATATACTGGCCTACTTATATTTATTTGTGTGAGCAGTACCATGCTACACTGAATTATGCTGAATATTATATTCCTGAAATACAAATACTGAAATGTATTTACATATCTCACTAAGAGCTTATTGGGAAACCAAGTTAGCTTTGTAACAGCTGAGACATTCATTTGCATCATCTTTTTACTGTGGACAATCGAAATGAATGAGTCAGACTCACTCTTGCTAATTGTCCCTGTCCCTTATGTAGCATTAGCTCCATGCAACTGTTAAATGCAAAAGCTGAAGAGAGATGTTTTATTAACATAAGAACTCTTCTTGCCTTTGAAATTTCAGTATCCTCAGTGAACTGAGCTAAAAGATTCTGTTCTTATATTTTCTTTACTGTAAGACGAGATGCTGTAATCACATCAGACACTGCAGGCTTTTGTGTGTATACTAGTATATATAAATATGTATTAGTATATATAATACTAAGTATATACTTATACACACAGAGGCATGTGTATATGTATGTTATTTCTTCTTTTTCACTGGAGGTTTGTAGTCAGATGTACACAGTGGATTAAGTAAGTTGCTATGGGTGTAAATGATACTAAATGATTAAACAGCCCAGCTGTCTGTGGTCAAATGCAGCATCTCACCAAACGCTTCTCCAAAATAAAAATTCTTCCAAGGAATGATTTATAATTTAGACCTGTAAAAAGGTTTCCTGGATAGCATTTGTTTCCCATGTGTAATGTGGTTTGAAATCTACTTTCTGATCCAACTTTCTGCAGTTCTCTCTGAAATGGGCTTGGTGATGGATGGTGGCAAACGGCCTAAAAATGACTAGATATTTTGCCTCTCTAACATATGTCTCCAGAGTGGTGAGTTAGTGTCTAGCATCATGTTAATGTCACAAAGTAAAGGAAGTGGGGTGAGAGAGTCACTAATCAAAAGTTACTTGAGCTGGACTCACAGAAGAAGAGCTAGGGAGCCAGCTGCCCAGCCTGGATCCTCTTCTTCCATGAAGCCTTAAATCACTTCTCAGAAGAGATCTTGATCAAGCAGAATAACCTTTGAGATTTTTTTTTGTCCTGAACAGGAGCAGAATCAAAACGTGTTGAAAGCTTTCATGAAAACAGATGTGTGTTGAGAAAATCAAAATGTCAGGGTGGGTCAGAGTGAGGTAGATCGTCAGTGTGGTGGTGGGACACTTGGTCTAGGATGTAGAAGGTGCTAGAGCAAGCCTCTGTCCAGAGGAACAAAAGCAGAAAGTTTTCATCCTTTATTATTTTCAGTGTCTCTTTTTCAGAGCCTCAGTGTCCTGTGCATAGTTAAGTCCCACTCATCAGGATACAGATACATGAGACCTCCTCTCCTCTCTCATGCCAGCACAACCTCCAATGCAATGCAGTTTGGTAACTCCCGGTGAAAATATTCTTACCATTAAACCCCGTGGAGCTGGGCATCTTGCCACTTTTGTGTGGCTCTTTTTTTTTTCATTTCCCATAACTGAAAGTGCAGATAACTAACGTGGGCCAGTCCCAGCCTGCTGTCTGTGAGCTGGCTATAGCGTTCTGGCACTATACAGTGATCATTATAAAATCATACTTTTTCTGCCAATGGAGAATTACTCCAAGAAAGGTTTGCCTTATGTGAAGGCTCAACTCTGAGACCCCAGATTAATTTCCTAGCTGTGCCACAGCCTTCCTGGGTGCCTTCGGAGCCTTTCTCTTCTGGTGGGATTTTTGACCTATCTAGGAGAGAGGTGCCAAATTCCTCATTTGTACTTTGTGCAGTGATTAGCACAGTACTACTTTGTCCTCATTTGGAATATGCTTGATATCTTGAAATCCAGAGAGAAAGAAGTAGATACTATTACTTACTATGCTTAGAATTGGGGATATCCTATGAATATTCTCTATAGAAAACTGATTTTGAGAAGGATATTTCTCCATTAAAAACCAGAATTGCACACTGTGACTTATGCATGTACTTTTACATTATGGACTAGGTAATTTTTGTCAGATTGCTTTGAATAATGAATAAATTCAAGGAGACTGAAATCTGTTCAGACACCTAGTAAAGACGTAAGAGCAAAATTCATCAAGTTAAAGGTTTACAATGCATTGCTTTTTGTGTTTCAACCCAATGTTTCATTTACATCCCTGGTGGTCAGAGGGTCTTCCACTCTGATATGAGAACTGTGTGCATTGCACACACCAGTGATGCTCCTGGCTGACCTACAGTCAATTCAGTGCAGATGGCAGGTTCGTGTCTTACAGTCAATTCAGTGCAGATGGCAGGTTCATGTCGCTCTCCCTCTCTCCCTCAGGTGCGTTGCTGGTGGGAGCAGTAGCCTTCATGCAGCAAGGCCTGAGTCTCAGTCCAGCCCCCCTATTCTGTTTCTAGTTGTGGCCAGTATAAATGGCCATATGTAGCTAGTATAAATGCACTGTATTTAAACTATGTATCCACTACCGACCAAAGTTAAGAACAGACTATGGGGCTAAATTGACCTTTGGTCTGACCCAACCTTTTTTGTCCTAAAATTACTAAAATGTCTAAGGAAGAATATAAGAACATGAAATGATACTTGTCCATCCTCTGCCATTTGAAGTGCAATAATTCCCCGAGCTGGGGATAGTACTTAATACCCTCAGATGTAATTTCTTCCATGAATCTGTCCAGTAGCCTTTTGAATTCATGCTGGTATAAGCAGTATATATATAAGTATCTGCAACAACATGCTAGCAATGATTCCTACAACTTAGCCACACGTGGTATGAGGAACCACCTCCATTTGTTTATTCTGAACCTTCTGGCTGTTAGTAGTTTCATCCAACGATCCTCCATTCTGGTACTGAAGGAAAGGACAATCATCCCCTGTTCACCCAGTCTGACATACCACTCATCTTTATAATGATAAATCATCTTTATAAATCCTCCTGCAGTGTGAAAACAAAACACTGATTTTATTTTTAGGTATAACAGATTAAAACCAATGTTTTCTACCTTGGATGATCAAATTAAGCAACAAGAAGTGGCCTGCCTTTTCACAGCATGCCCTGCTATTCTGCAGCTTCCAGATAAGAATGTTGATTTAGGTACAAGGTATTGTCTCTATTTTCTAAATTTGAGTGCCTGAGTTAAAAGATTTTTGTGCACTCTTTGATTGGCCTTTCAGGGTTATTTAAAAAAAAAAGGGGGTTGGGGTTTCCGTAACATTAGCAGAGCTGACTCAGACACACAAGGAACACGTCTGCAGAGGGAGAAGGTGTAGTTTTTCATATCATCTGTTTTCTCACTGTAACCACACTGTGACAGACTGGAATGAAAACTCTAAAAACTTCAGTCAGCCTCTGGCTCTGTGCAGAAAGTCTTGCCCTGTCAAACCTACAGGGGACATTTGTTTGTTTGCCTGATAAGCAGAAGACCATTTAGAGGCTGGGAGTTTATTCACTGTGGTCATTGCACCTCCGGAAAGATATGAACAAAATGTGAACGTGCTCCAGACTGATTTGGGCTCCAAACATGCAATAAGTAATACTTTTTTTTCTCCCAGCTGGCAGTAGAAAGTAGGGCCGTAAAAGGTCTGCCTAGCAGAGGATTATATGAAGTTCTTTAAGAGACATAGCACAAAACAATTTTTGCACAATACAGCATGTCAGATGCAAGCTGAAACAATCCAGGATGAATGTGCTGCAGCCTAAGGTTCAGGCATGGTTTATTTAGGATAATTGCCCAGCAGGGTAGTTGTCCCTTTCCAGAGCACACTGGAAAGTCCAAAAGCACTAGAAGTACCATCTTGCAATATTTCTGAGTACCTCTTATCAAGCTAACAAATACCTTCAATTTTCCCTGGCTTCATGTCTGTGCTAGGAGAAGTCAGCAATCTGCAGGACCTCATTCTCGTACTAAAGGGTAATATTCTTACCATAGAGCAGCCAGACTTCTAATTAAACAAAAAATCCTTTACATCTCCAAAAATAATATAGCTTAATAACCACCTGTTAGAGAACTATATATTTTGATAATGATTTTAATGGGGGGGATATTATTTGTATTTTCTTCTTGTTTGTGTCAGCTGAGTGCTAGAGACACACACTGTACAAAAGGAGCATCTTGCCGTAAAGAGTTTCCAGCCTGAGCAGTGGGGAAGACACCTGTGTTTGTAAGGGGGCAGAAGAAACAGTAAGAAGTCTCTGGGCAGTATGAGTGACGGGGGTTTTGGAGTGCAGCCAGCTGAAGCTCAGCCTCTCTCTCTAGACATCACACTTGAAGAGAGACCAGAAAAAGGTTCCTGATACTCAGGTATGTTATGGGAGTTTCCGTAAATTGAAACGTCAGTTCCCATTGTTGTTAGTGCTATTGCGACTGCACAACACGTGGTTCTGTATCCACCGTCTTTCTCCTTCGTGTTGTGAAAACTGGGGCCTTAGACAGAGCTTCCAGATGAAGAGATAAGATTTAAAGTTTTCTCATGGAACAAATTTTATTTGATAGATTCCACATTTTAGAGACTAAAATTTCTTGCACTCAGTGAACTTCTGCTGAATGTCCAGAGTCCTGAGGTAACCCCGTCTCCCTCTCCACAGATGTCTGCCCACAGCCGTCCCCTGGGAGACTGGCCAGGGAGTCAGGGAGTCTGGGAAGCCCCAGCCTTCAGTGACACTGATACCTGGCTTTGCTGTTGGTATTAGGACGGAGGCAGCTTAGTGGAGCTGTTCCAGCGTCTGAGCAGCTTCCTGCTAACTGGACGACTGGGAACAAAAAAAGATTTCATCTGATTCAAACTGAAACCCAATTCTGAAAAAGATGAAGTTTCCTGTTAGCAGGAAACCCCCTTTCCTGGCTGTCCTCAGTTCTAACTT